TTAGTGTCGTCTGTGACGCTTCGGACTTTGCCATCGGCTGTGCACTGCTACAAGCAGATGCCGAGTGGCGCGGTGATCGCGTTCGAATCTCGCCAGCTTAAAGCTGCGGAGAAGGGCTACCTAGTCCACGACAAGTAACTACTTGCGATGAAGTATGCACTGATCAAGTTCAGGGTACACCTGCATGGCTCAAAGCCGTTTGTGATCTACACAGATCATGCGTCACTGAGCACTGCGACTCATCGCCTCACCTCTCGCAGAGGATGACCAGGTGGGTCTTATTCTCTGCAATTATAGACCTTCGAGTTGAAGTATAAGTCAGGAAAGCAGAATGCGTTAGCTGATGCGTTTTCACGCAGACCGAATTATGAGCTTGCTCATGTCACGACGTTGACATCGTCAGTGACGGATTTAATCCGCGCCGCACACGCGGACGATGGTTAGTGTGTAGCGCTACTACAGAGCCTAGGGAGCAAGGAGGTTGGGAGCTGTCGTCGCGACTTTGAGCACGGTTGCACCGATATTCGTTGAATAACGAGTTGTTGTATTAAAGCACCGATTCGACGAATTCGCGTCACATTATGGTGTGTGGACACATTATGGTTCCTCAAGATGTAAATTTGAAGTACCGTACCCTTTATGAGTCCCATGACACCCCACTCAATGGTCATTCGGTCGTGAGAAGACGTACAGCTCTACTACTGGTGGACCAACCTGTTCAAATGGACGAGCACATATGTGCACATGTGTGTGACGTGTCAAAGGGTACAACCCTCTTTGAATGCGGCGGCGCCGCTGGCCAGTTTACCGGTACCCTTCGGGTGTTGGTCGTCCATGAGTATGGACTTTGTGTTTGGCCTGCCGAAGGACTCGGCGCAACACGGATGTGGTGGTCTTTGTGGACCGTTTGAGCAAGATGGTTCATCTTGCGGCAGTTCCGGACACCATCGATGGTGTGGGGACAGCGACACTATTTGTCGATCGTGTCTTTCGACAACATGGACTCCCGGAGTCAAATGTCTCTGATAAAGACCAGCGCTTCATTAAAACATTTTGGTCTACGATCTTTAGGGTGCTGGGCACCAAGTTGACTATGTCAATCGCGGACCATCCGCAGACCGATGGTCAGACTGAGCGCGTGAATCGCGTCGTTGAAGACGTTCTTCGCAGCGTCTGCGCTGGGAAGCCGAGGCGCTGGAGCGCCATGCTACCACTTGTTGATTTTGCTATAAACAATGCAGTGCATGCGTCTACCGGTTACACGCTATTCTACAGAAACAAGCTTGTTAATCCTCGCGTCTAGCTGACGCCGCCATCTCATAGATCAACTTTTGTGGGGGGGGGGATTTCCGAGCGGCCAGCTGATGTCAGCCCCCACAATGTCGTAAAGAAGTCGATAACTTCCTGTCTACCAGACTGAGTGTTCCACGACATTTTTGAGATGCGATGGCTAAAAGCCAAGACGTGCAGAAAGAATATGCAGACGGAAGAAGCAGAAGATATGTTAAAAACATTGAGGTCGGAGACCCGGTTTTATTAAATGCTAAACCCCTTCCAACACATGCAGTCTCTGCTGAAAAAAGACGAAGCTTCGTCCACGGTTTATCGGACCTTTTAAGGTCGTGGACAAACGAGTATTTGCGTATACAATAAACCTTCCGAGAAGGATTCGCACTCATCCGGTATTTTATGTGGGCTTGCTTATGTCGTACCGGGATCCGACACAAGTTAACGCGGAAGCGTAGGCGCCGGGGCGGCACCCAAAGGCTCTCGACCACTTAGAAGCTGAACCAGCAACTGGTTTCGAGCACGGAGTCAACGATTTCCGTTTCAAACAGCGCCAGGCGCTCCACCGTCGCACGAAGTGAAGCATTCCTCTGCTCGATGGCTAAGTGCCGCTCCGACGGAGAGCGTTAGTTCTTAACGTGATGTGGTCGGTGCACAAAGTACTCCAAGCTCTCGAGGTTTTCCGCGCAGCGGTAGGCGACCTCGCAGAGACGCTTGGCAGAATACCGATAACGCCGGGCTTTGTCCTCCAACGCTCAGAGTGCATCGCGAGTCACCAGACGGCGATCGACCAAGTAGTCATCGACTACCACCGACGCTTCTCGATGACGTTGGTGGCGTCCGTTATCACGTGGAACGCCTTGTGGGTCAACGTTGTCGACAGGGTCAAACCCAATATCTTGTAAAGTGGCGGGGATATCCAAACTCCGAGAACTCGTGGGAGTTTGAGGTGCCACCTCAGCAAGACTGCCCAGATGTCATGGATGCTTATGATCAGAAGGATTATGACGATTCTCGTCGTCGCTCGCTCCGCACTTCTCTGCGATCGCCAGGAAAGCCAGAGGGCTATGAGCTGAGATCAGGCTATGGACCTGAGCTGCGGTGGTCGAAGACTCACCGGTGTGAGAAACCACAGAGCTCGCGAGAGCTTGATGGATGATTCCATGTGTTGCGGGGCGACAATACGCAGGAAGTCGGTGCTGCGCCTTGACTTTGGCATTTTTAAATCGAAGATGGCGTTCTACGCGCACGTCCACTTCCTTATGGCTCCGCTGTAAGTGAGGCAGCGAGGAAAGTTTCCGGTGCCGTTGTACCCATCACTCAAAGAGCTCCTAATATATATAGCGGTTCTACCAGAGGCGGGCACTACCGGGATAGTCCGCATTGTGGGAATAGGAGCGCCTCCTCTTTGAGCTCGAAGTCGAGCGCGATGCCTATTCATTGGGATTTCTTGAGGTACCAAGAAGCGAGCCTGGAGAGCTTTCCGCTGGTCAAGCTAAGCTTGTGTAGTGGCCGGTGACCCGGCTACGTTGGCGCATAATGATCGAGTGATCGCGTCTTTCGCTTCAGTGGTGGGATCTGCGGGGCGGAAGCCGTATTCCACTCGAGGGTCTAGGAACTAAAACGTGGATACAAGCACATGAGAGCCGCCCTGTTGGCAGCCTCCAACTGCTGCTTCTGTGCCTCGTCAAGACGATTGGTGATAACACCGATTCCCCCAGGAATTCGAGAGGTCGAGAAACGGAATCGGAGCAGGGCTCACGTCGCGTCGTTGGCGCATCTCGCCCTCCTCTTCTTTTCATGCTGGAAAAGGAGTATCCGACTCGCAATCGGCTTCCTCCGAATCCTCGACGAGGAAATATGTCGCCCGTAGCGGGCGCGGTGTGCGGCTCCTGGTTGCTGAGGGCTTGGTATATGCTTCCCGTGAAGCCGCGGACGTACTGTCCGGAGATGCACTGCCTGCAGGAGACAAAGAAGGGCTCTGCCCGCGGGCGCTCTCGGAACCAGCAAGGCTGGGTGTCTTTCGTGTCATAGACACAAGGCTGATTGAGCAGAGAATGTGTTAAGATGGTCCTAGGGGCGTAACGGTATCTCAGACACGCGGGCCTCGTACGAGGCGACATTTAAATGTGAGTTGTGGGTATTCACAATTTTGATGGATAAGAGTGTAACGGGGTTACACGTACCCTTATATGAAAGGGTGGGTCACATAATGTTGTGTGACCGTGCAAAAGTTCGGATTACACAAGTCTGTGTAATTACACAATGGTGTGGCAATACCATAACATGAAGCCACTACGTGGCGGGACTGCCAGTAGCTGAATAGGTTTTCCGATTTAATTAGGAGAACCTAAGACGTTAGGTATTGGCGGCTCTACCGCAAATAGAACAAGTAAATACAACTTCTATATGAACGGAAGTGTACATTGCCTTGGGTACACGTTCTGGGTACTCTTGAAGGTAGCGGAATGCGATCCGCTACACTCGTTTTGGTTTTAGTATAGAACGTAAGGTTGATGATCTAAGTAAGCTTCCTCAAAGCAAAGAGCTACGGCAGCCCCGCTGCACATACGGGTCTCCGTTTAGCAAACGCTTTTTTCAGAAAATGGAGTTTCGATGCGGAGGTCGACCAGTCAACTAGATGAACTTAAAGATGCGTTGGATAACGCTGCATTATTGTGGATTTAGACGAGCTGACCTTGAATACATAAAATGATCGCTTACATATTTTTTCTCGGCGCACTCATCAGCATGTCTTTGGGGAATAGGTTCCACGCTGACCGCTTGCAATCCATCATGGTCATAAACACGCGGTCGCGATCCCGCGTTGATCTCTTGTGTGTCGGTCCACATTCATATCTGACTTGGATCCCGGAGCGAAAATAATTCGCACTATACCATGCAAGAAATATAAAAGTCCCTGAAAATTTTCGGGTCTCGTGGGCTACCAACAATTGGAATCGGACTGTATCGGATAGGCTCTTATGGCACTTACTGGACACCTAGGTTTTCCACATCACCCTCTTACATGATTTTGACAGCTACTTGAGGGCCGCTGGAATAGACGTACAACTGCAGCAGCTTTGAAATTACTGTTGGGATCATGAAACTGAACCAAGAACATAGTTCTTTCTCCATGTCAAATTTTTCCATACTACCTTGTAATTGTGTGAAAGCAGCAAATAGTCGTCCATCGTAAACAGATGGTATTTCAGCGAAAAAACGCCCATTCAGACTGTGTTTCCAAAAATTCTAGCACTGGAAAGTTACCATGACTCCGTCTTCGTCAAACCAGGAATGCCACATCTGCTTAGAGGAGCTGCGATCCGACTTAGTTGCCATACCGTGCGGCCACGTTTATCATCACACCTGCCTCATTCAAGCGCTGAACGTCAATCAGCAGTGCCCTATTTGTCGCCGGAGCACTAGTGACTCCGATATCATCGCGCTCTATTTCGATGTGTCAACCGTTTGTGATGACCAAAACGACAATTTGCTGTCAAAAAATACCTCTCACGCTATGGTAGATGATGTGGCGCTCAGCTCTAGGTTAAACATGCTCATGGAACGCGTCCAATGGCAGAATACACAACAGGAGCGACTTGTGAATGAGCTGCGGCGTCTGCGCGGTGTGAGCGAGAAGCTACTGTACGACAAAGAGATGCTAGTTCAGCGTGTTGAAGAACTGGAAGCCACAAAAAATGAATTGATTTCGAAAGTGGTTCGGTATCAGATGGATCTTTCGCGTCAAGCGGAGGTTGTGCGCAAATTTAGCGTAAATCAAAGTATTATTCATTATTTGGAGACGTGCGACGCATCTGCAATGGAAGAGGAAATCCAGAATCCGAGGGAGCTAATTATGGCATTAAAGAAGGCGTGTAAGTTTCGCCACGACCAGTATGAGAAGGTGGTAAAAGAAAAATTGCATTTGAAGGAGATGCTTCGGAGTGTACATCCACGATTAACACATCAGCAGATAGATGGCAATATCAGCATGGCGAGGAACAAGGCCCAAAGTGCTTCATCAATGGCTTTTGAAAATAAATCTGCATCCCCTACTTTCACAGAGCAAATTGTGGTGGAGAGCAAGAAGCGCAAGATCGAATCGACGTCCATATCAGCCAGTGCTATGCTCCTACGAAAACAGCAGGTCAACGATGAGGATTTAAAGTTTCCACACCAATTCGAGCCGGTTGGATCTCGCGCAGTAGCGTATTCGGATGTACCTCTCCGTCCCCCGGCGAGCTCACGGGACGTGTTTGGACACAGCAATTTCAATTCATCCGGCGTGTTTCATTTGAAGCCTTCAAGTTGTCCTCCACTGCAGAATCTAGTCCCTCATGCGACGGTGTGCCGCCATGGACATGATGAAACGGGCAAGTTGACGAATTCGTTTTGGCTGAAGGAAGACGACACGCGGTCTGGGTCTCGAAAGAAGTCTATCCCGAGTATGCAGCATCTGTTGAACGCACAATCACGAACGGCGAGTCAGCAGCAGGACCACATTGTTAATAACGACCGGCAGCAGTACGCGTTGACAAACTGGCTCCGCAATAATTAGGAGCTCAAATTGCATACATTTATCAAAACAGTCCATTGTAAAAATCGCTACCAGTTTAAATTCTGATCATACTCACGATCGACGTTGCGATATTACCGGTAGCTAAGCTATGACACGAGATAAATCTCGTTTCCGTACATGGTATCGATTTATTTTCTAAGAAATGTTTTTAAGCCATATCGTTTCGTCCTAAAACTTCGTCAGTTAAAGACTGCTGCATGTCTTCAATGTCACGTAAGAGTTCCAGAGATCTCTCAAGGACTTCCTTCGCAGACTCGTAAATGTTCTTTGATGCCTCCAGAGCCATGCTTGTAACTGCCGTGCTTACTGCCGGTGAAATTCCTGCCAAAACGGACTGAACGTTATTGATCTGTTTGCAAAACAATGCGGCGTCAAAATCACATTAAAACTTCGGATTCGCCGTAAATCGTTGCTACCTGGCCCGACAGATATCGCATGTGTTGGGTGATATTCTCGTAACGGCACTTCATTTTGCTGCAAATATTTGGCAAGGAGATCGTTGCGTCACTAATGTCCACTACACCTGGTGTGTGGATACCATGTTCGGCAAAACGATTTTTTTCTGGGACGTAGATAAGTAGTGATGCCTTGAATTCACACATGCCAGATTTTTTCAGACCGTATAATCTTGCAACCGACTTCGGGTCATCGGAAAACACTAACTCGACAAGCATGGAGTAACGATCGTTATCCATGCATGTGTCACCGTCATCGTAGACCATATTCTTGTAATTTAGAGTAATGGGGTCGATCTGCCAGCCGCGAAACATACTTCAAATTGTTCAGCACCACACAGACCAAGTTATCAAATTGTCACTTTGATGCTAATTAAATCAATCTTACCCAAGAATAGTGCGGATTGGTGGTTCCTTCTGCTCTCCCGACACAGGGTCTTCTATTGCGTCATCACCACTGTCCGCTATATCTTCCGAAAGTTTGACCGCGACTTCCACTTGTTTATTGACGGTATATTTAACTGTCACGTTCGATAAAAGACATAGACTCAGGACATAGCTGCAAATGTGTGGGTAAGTGGAGTTCCACTAAACAAAACAAGAAGCAAGCACTTACGCTGTCCCCTCCTCCAACATTTTCTCGTCATGTACGCATGGAAGCAGATCAATCTTGTCTACGAACGGGCCTGCTGGTCGTAGCAAGAGCAAATAAGCATGATTATACTCTATGACTTCCCATAAATGACCCAAGTGTGCCTTGGATTGCTGGAAGTGGATCGCGGTAAGGGACGGGGCCAACAGCTGGTGCGGTATCCTCTATAGGCCGCAAACGAGCGATCACGTTGATATCAATTCTGGGTGCAGCCGCACACAGCGCGTCATACAGCAACGCAGCGGCCACGAGAACGGGAAACACTTTTCTTCCCATATGATTGCTAAAATGTGTGCTCGAAGGTTTGAAGTTATGAAATTTTGTAGGACAATAAAAATTGAAGTAAGAGTGATAGTCAGATCGCAGTGTGCGGATTAATAAAGTAGATTAATGCGGTATTGCTCGAAAGTCTTGTATCAAAGATGGAATCTGTGGTCGGTGTAACAATTTTAATGCAAACTGAAAGGTTGACGAATATCTATGGCCGCACAGCTGGAGCTTCGACGGTAGATGTAGCAGCGCTAGACCAGGAGCTGAAGGAACTCCAATGCGTTGTCGATAATTTTTCAAAGAATCGGGTATTGGAGTTATCGGGAATGCAGCTGATGAATGCTGGTGTCGAGTTGTATAACGCTCCACGAGCTGCGCTCAGAGCTCTGCCTCAAGGGGAAATTGATGAAAAGCAGGGCGATGGACGAGTGACAGCTTTTCCACGATATTCTTTGGTACTCACACGGTATGTAGCCGCGAAGGTAATGGAGCTCTCACTTACTTGCTCCAATGATAAGGAGAATTTGGAGAACAGTGGGAAGAATCTGGCATCTTTTATAGATGAATGCATTGATGTTCTGCGCTCGTTTGGCCGTGTCGGGATGCTAATGTTGGAGAGCGCGTCGCTGGACTGTGACAAGTGTGAGATATACCTGTCACTGGCAAAGGATTCGTTCTTTTCGGCCATGCAACTCTGGAGTCGCATAGGACTCTTCCATTTGACGAAGTTTAAGCAGGGCTTGGAATTGGAGGATATTATTGATGATTTGTGGGACTTCTGGGTAGACCGTGTACGAGTACATCAGTTGCATGCACAACATTCCACCAATTTATCTGAAGAGGCTCGAGATATTCTGTCGTCGTTACATGAATTAAAAATGCTTGCTCCTTACAAGACCTCATATGCTAGCAGCTTACTCGATCTTATGAAAAGTGTTAGTGATGATTACAGACAGGTGGCCTACCTAGAGCTGCAAGTGCCATTTGTCGAGGAAGTTCTACGTATCGGTGATACTCTTGAGAACGATGGTGATGGTGATTTTTTGAAGCGTGTAATCTCTTTTCAGCAGCATGTGCTTCTTAATCTGCTGCAAGCGCTTTGCACATCTGGAGATTTCGAACAAGCAGAAAGATGCTACCACCTATTCCCAAACAATAAAGACCCCAAAGTATTGCTGCTGATGAACAAGCTTTACGTCGACAAAGGCCACTTCGATAGGGCCCATCGCTTGCTTCAGTTGATGTTTCAGCAGAATTGCTTTGAAGACTCCATTGCTGGGGCTCGTGTCTTCGCCCAAGGATATAATTTCTCTGACAAAGGCCTGGATATTTATCGAGAGCTTGCGGACAACTATAAAGATGCAGACTTTGTCATTAATTTGGATGTCGCGTGCAGTCTTGCTTTTGTCGAGGGTAAAAGACATGAATCGATGGAAGAGCTCAAGCGCATTGGATGCATTTTGCTGGAAAAGCAGCGGTACGAACTTGTGGATGATTGCACAGGAACATTGCTGTCATTACTGCTGCATTCTTACTTAGAGGTGGCCAAGTAATCGACAGCAAACATATTCACCAGATTCGGCAGACATTTTTCGACGCTTTACAAGAGGCACTAAACTCAAACAAGCACGAAGTATTGCATTTATATTTTTGTTGTCAGATTTTACTCCCTCACTTTACATATTCAGGAATGTTTACGGTGGGCGGATGCTGCATTGGCTATATCTTCAATACAAGATGCAGCAATGTACATGAGGTAGCCAGTCCTCCAGCCGTGTGATACTTATATGCGAAAAATAATCGCCTGGTTAATTTTCCATAGGATTTCTTCCCGGTCGTGCATACAGCTAGGCCGCAATTCTGAAGCTTTGGACTGGGCTGAAAAGGCTTTCGATACTGAGCCTTCCAAACAATCCCTGCTTGCTGTTTTTCAAGCGAAAATCGAAGTGAGGCCAGAAGCATCATATGAGACACTTGCGCACATTGTAGAGCAAATAAAAGCAAGGGATGATTTTTTTATTAGTGATTTGCTGGCCTTGGGAAAGATTGCAAATAGTTCAACTCAATCGAGGGAAGATATTGTAATGCTCATATTGGATACATTATGTCATCTTCTATTGGATAGTGACATCCACCCGGCGAGTCTGTCCATTGGTGTGGTCTTACAAAAAGCGGCTCAACTCGCATTCACTAAAAGAAAAACTCAGCAACAAGTCGAGTCAATTCCATTAGACAATTCAAAAGACTCGTACAGCCAAACATTCTTGACATATACTGATGCGCTGCTATTGAAGTCGGCTAATTTCGGCTTACTCGAACACAAGAAAAGTTTTGGGCCTTCATCCGTATTTGAGTGGTTTTTTCGGATGAGGTAAGTGAACGTCTATTCTCTTATATCGCTGTAAGCTCTTACGGCTGCTGAATTTCTAGCTTCGACATAGCCAAAAGTACCGAAAACTCCAGATATTTTATCCTGGCAGCCAATATCGCAGAGCGGAGCGACGAGCTGTACAATGAGGAATCACCGCTTCGGCATCGATGCCAGCCATGCCTCTTAGCTGCTGTGAGTTCAGACGTCAAGAAAATTGAGATACTGAACAAAAGCCAATTATCGGACCTTCTCGGAGTGATCAACCGAATTGAAAGCATTCAAGATTGGGATGCAACAGTTGCAGCCGAATTGAAGTGCTACTTGGTACGATACACATTTTAATTGCCGACTACTGTAAGCTTTTTGAGTACAAAATATTTAATTATTTGCCAGACGAGGGTTACGATAGCGGTGAAATTAAGGCTTTTCGACACAGACACTACCGCGATATTTAATCTTTGCAAGGCCATACAGCAAAGCGGTCCAGAGCTTGAGGAAATTGGAGGTGTGTCGTTACGAACCTTAGTACGCTTTGTAACTAAGCAACATTTTGTCGCGTAGAGCTGGTAATGTATGCAACGAGATTCGATGAAGCGAATAATGTAAGTCTAGCTCAGCCGATGTGTATTGATTATTCTCATTTTATTTTGTTGTAGATTCGAGAAAGCTATCGCTCACTAGCGGGACAAATCTTCAGCTACGGGTGCGGGCTGTAACATGTATAGTGAGCAGAAGCAATCTGAAGCGCATGTAAAAATTTTCATAGACTTCAAGTCCTCATTCACGAGGGCTCAACAGACTCCAGTAAGCTGTGCTACCTGCTACGACGGCTAATTATGCTGGCAGAATCGAAGTTGAACGCATTTGAGTGGTTCGAGCAAGTACTTCAACTAGTCGACAATTTGGACGTGAAGCCTTCTGAGCATGAGATGGAGTGGTTTGCCGTTAAGGCGTGGAACATCGTACGTACTTCTCAAAACTTTGCATCTAATCGTATTGTTTGCTGATACTAATTCAAAATGCAAACAGGGTGTGCTTTGTCAGCGCAGCAACAACACAAAAGAAGCTCTTCGGTTTATGACAGTTGCCCAGTCTATTTTGAGTGAGAAGTCATCAATGAAATCGTGACAAGTGTAAATATCTTTCTTCACATGAAACTGAATTTATGTGGGTTTTTTCGTAGGACGCAGCGACACACTTGTGGAAAAACTGGGCGATGAAATGAGTCGCCAATACCAGGCGCTTTTAGGAGTCAGCACCAACTCTGTACCCAGCGCATGATCAGATGTACGCATAAACATTTGGCCTACTAGACCCGGAAGTACACAGCACTAAATCATTCATGCATCGTACACATCAGGGTGAGGCCCGTGACTAGATAGCCCATTGATATGAATTTTTATAGCTTCCAGGTAGGCTTGTGTATCAGGCACTTCAGACGTTTCTGTCTTTCTCAAAACTTTCGAAGCCCATTTGCGCTCAGCATATTCACATATCTAAAGAAGCATCCGATTTTTAAGTAAGAGTTCAAGTCCATGCATTCCGTTTTTCGCAGAGTAAACTCACCTCTTTGATGTCGCGGCATGAAAGGTGCGATGACACGGCTGCCATATGCTGGAGTTCTTCATCTGAAAGTTGCTTTGCGTAACTAAAAAGAAAAAGTAGTGAATGAAGTGAATGCGATATGCTCTATATAAAAATACCGTCCAAACACTGCACGACGAGTTTTCTTATCAGGAAGATCGTAACGAATGGAAAGATCAAAACGGCTTATCAATGCAGCATCCAGGTCTTGTTTACTAAATTCATAGATTAGTCATCTTAAATTTTTCATAGAAATATAAGCTTACCGGTTAGTTGCGCACACTACAGTGGTCTTTTTGGCTGAGGCAAAACCTTCTACTTTTTGAAGAAGAACTGACAAAATACGACGCGAAGCTTCATGCATTGTTCCACCGGATCGGTCTCCAGCAAGCGCATCAATCTATTCGTGTCAATGATGCATCAGACAAGATAAGCGATTTTCATGAGAACGTACCTCGTCAATAAAAATGATGGCCCCGTCCAGCTTTTCACAAGCATCAAAAATTGCCGACATTTTCTTCTCACTATCACCATACCACTTGGAAACAACACTTTCGATAGGGAGATGGACCATAGGAATTCCGGCTTGCTGAGCAATAATACGAGCACTCAAAGTTTTGCCAGTACCTGGGGGGCCCTCAAACAGCACAGCACGAGGACGATTGCTCTCGTAGCGACATCTCGTCTTCTCAGCAATTCGCTCGTACAACTCTGGATTCTGAAGTGCTAGCACTATAGTGTCTTCAATCTCTGCTTTAACTTTTTCGTATCCAGCCTACATGGTACAAATCGAGTTAAATGACTTAATACTAAAGAAATTTAAAAATCAAACAGTACCAAGCTTTCCCAGCTCAAGCTATCTTCGCTGTGTGTTGGCTCAAACACGTCAATTCCGAGGTTTTGAAGCTTTTGAATGGCAAGTTCCTGTGTGTATAACGTGAGACCATGAACTGGAAAGATTGAGGCTGGCAAAGACTTACTCGATTATCCAGAGCTGTGGAACCGGGAATTGCCGAATTTTTTCCATGCCCCATAAATGTACTTTTCCGGCGCTGCTCCAGATCGTACAGCAGGAACGCATCCACGTTCGCATATGAAAACATTTCCTTGTAAGCGCCAACAACTGCGTCGATTTCGTTTGCGGTGAGAAACTCATCCTTGTAGAATACAAACTTTGAGGACATCGTTTTTGGTTGTGAGGGATCTCGCAAAAAATGAAACGATCCGGAGCCGTTCGTGTATAAATACGCCACTGCAGGCTGTTGATTTAGTTTTACGATCGACTTCGTCGACTTTTTTGTAAGAGTCGGCAATACCTGAATAATCTGAGGCGAAGTGGGTACATCCGCCTTCCGAAGCTCAAGCAAGAATCGACCTAAAACAGCCTCCTCATTTATGAATGTCGGACACGAAAATTCAACCCGGATCGTAGAGACACCATTGGGTGCGACAATTCTAGAAATTCCGATTTTTTTAATAGGAAATGCCTTCGGAATACGATTTTCGGGTCCCTTCAGCGTCAATCGAAACTGCGACACCTGCTGTCGGATAATATCTACTGCTTCAGCGTAATCGAAATGCTACAGAGACAGCAGCAGCCTTACTCAGTCATGTGTCACTCTCACAAAATTTATGAAAAAAATTAAGAACCTTTGAGTGATCGTTTTCTGGAGATGATTCCAATTGCACTTTAGCATCATTGACGCTCATAGCCCCAGCAAGTGCAATAACTCCACTAATGGCTGCGAATTTTTTGATAGTAGTATTGCCAGAGTCCGTGACAGATGTTAACGACCTCAGAGCCCTACTAGGCTGAGTCCGCGTTACTTTATATCCATTGAATACTTTGACTTTTCCTGGAAGGCGCATTAATTGGCCCTGAGCGACTGCAGCGGGGCGCGACAGGAGCTTCCTACTTAGTATCATTTTTTGTGACTCACTTCTAGAATTTAATTACCGTACTTAACAAAAAAATAACCTAGAACATTTTTGAAAGGTGATCCTATTTTTCTACTTCGATAACATTGTTATCGAAGTTTGTTCTACAAACTTTTTGCTCACCTTTTTCAAGATATCTTTGAAGGGAAAAAACATGTAATTTATGCGGTACAACGCATTTTTTTTATCAGTCACGCAAGCTTTGTTGGCGAAAGATTTGTCTAAAGACTGTTCGGATTGCTGGTGGTGTAAATGATAGCAGTAAGATTAGTCTTTAGCGTAACTAACTGCAAGGAAAAGCACAAATAGTACCAAAAACCTTTCGAGGAGACCGAAAAATTAAATGCTATTCTGTCGGAACCAAGGAGTTCCGATACGTGCGGCGAGGGTTATAATGTCGATACGTTCGGCACGTGCGCACATGAGTGGTCTCCAATTTCAAATTGTCGAGCCATGTTCATGGAGCCATACGTCTTTTCTTTTCCAAGACAACAACCAGAGGGGATGTCGTATGCCTCGCACAGTTTTCTGTAAGTGAGGTCCTATTCACAAGGAGTTAAAACCAAGTGGGTGAGTGCTGTAAAAGAAAGCTCGAGAATGCAGAACTTCGATATAAGCATGCAACGCTTTGAAAAAATCAAAGAGGCATCTTGCATTTCAATGCTTTCAGCAAGAACGTTTGTAAATCTTTGGCCACTAGTACACCACGCTGGCTGAACGTCCATAATCTCTCTACCGAGATGTCTTCTGACAATATACTGTGCCTCATACAGGTTATGCTTCTGAGGTTCTGCATCCACACCATGCGTATAGCAGTACCAATTCGGTGACCTCATTGTCTTGAATCTCTTTTTCTTACATCACATGGAAATAAAAAGAAGACTAGTGACCCTCTAAACTTATCGAGTCACACAATCAATATTTCTTGCCACAAGTCTATAAGGTGTTAATGACATGTTAGACTCACAGTGGCGTGTCGCCACAGGGGTTTGACTGGCGACCGCGACACAGTACATATGATCAAAATTGATGATTCTAATACTTATACGACATATATAAAATCCGCTGTTTGTTATACTAAAACTGTCGTTTTGACAGCTAGCGTGCCACATAATCCTCCTCTCCTTTATCACCATGAATATCGATTTTATGGTACTTTTTACACCATTTGATTGTTGACTTTGTAAAATTACACGCTATTGCACTTAATTTAATCATACTTGATTCATAAGAATTTAATTCACAGTTACCACTAAAAATATACCTGCTTTCATCTGTTGTATTCCAACCCTTTATTATTAAAAGCAGCACACGAGTGCCACGGAGTTCACCATCTGAAGCCCATCGCCCTCATCATTTCAAGTAATAATAATAACAAACCATCCCGGAGACCCAGCTCGAGAGACTATAGTATTTAAAGTACGTAAAACATAATAGAATGTAGGCCCTATTTCATTCCTCAGCAATTCAGGAACCCCACTGGGTAACATAATTTTTTCTTCAACATCCAGTCTTTCCATGAAACACGACGATAAAGCCGGAGGGGATCGTTGATCAAACAACTTGTGGATAGAACGCTCTATTCCGCATTCAATGCGACACTCGGAACTTTCCGAAATTTTTTGAGAAGACTGGAATGCACTCGGAGTGAGCTACATCCAAACGAAATTGGTAAAGTCACCGTTTTCGAAGGAGGTTATGACGTCCCGGTTATGGCAGCTGCCCAAATTGATAAAATCGCCACATTTGATTGGTAATAAGCACTTTATTGCGTGCGGTTAATAGGTAAGCGGTACGAATCCCTGCGATATCTGTCGTTCTAGTAACATTCAAAAGATTGGGCTTGTTCCCAGAGGCACTACACGTTAGTGCTCATTCTTGGGTGTGACCTCTTCGCTTGATGACCGCTCGCATGACGCGCTATTGCTTCATTTTTAGTCGACTCTTATATACAACCATCTCAGCCCCACGATGTTCTCCACACTTCCTACACAAAGCATGACATCAAACAAAGCCGTCTGGCTCAAATCATATGTCGGAGTTAGTAATACTTCTACAGTACCTCGCTAATTATAGCTTTGACTCTCAGAGTTACGCGGTTTGCAGCAAGAGAAATTAATTTTCACAGGATGATCGAAGCGGAAGCTCCTAATGTTTCTAGCTCTTACACTTGCTCAGAATAAAAAAAGGATTTATTTGGAGTTTCAGCTAGACCAAAATGATAGAAAATCCATTTACATTTTGCTGTGGGAACTGATTAAACTCTAAGTTTGTCAGTGCGCGACAATTGTCCCGCGGACCTTTTATCTCAGGGATCCCGTCCAAGCACAAATCATGAGCTTCTATCACAGTACTTAAACGTATTACGTTGATCAAAGAGTAATGCGTACGTATAAAAAAGGTGGAACTTCTTCATGACACTGCTCTATTATATTGAACAGAGATTTGCGTTTAATCATTATGCTGTGAAAGAGCTTCCTGGCTATCAACAGTCGACAATCACCTTGTTGATACTTGGACACAAGGGTCCCTCGCGAGATTTAAGGCGCACTGTGCTACGCATGCTCTGCTGAGCGACAATTAGGGGTTGAAAGCCGCCAACGGTTTGCAATTTAATTTAAATGAGCTTCAATATCCCAGTACCCAGAATACACGTCATTTTCAAATAAGCGCCAATTGTTGCCCCAAATGATGGACAGGTTTTATAAGTTTGTCGGTTCTAAGAATCAAGATATCATTACAAAAGGCTTTGCAGATCGTGGATACATGATAAATTCGGACCATGTCCACAAAAGAATCATATGCATACGAAGTAAGCCATAAACATGACGCTTTTGTACTCTCAAACAAAAGGTCAACTTTTGGCTCCAATCAGCATATCTGTTGAGGGTTTCAGTCTAGAACCATAGTAAAAAAGTCGCATATGGTATCCTTATTCTTCACGCCTTCTCACTTTCCTAAGTCTGTGTATGCTTTACCTACCACAGTCATAAGCAAACTGTCAAAACATGGATCGTTATAGGTATGTTTAAGTCCAACTGCTCGCAGCTTTGATAAGTGGACAGCTAAATTCGATAGCACAATTAGTAATACTCTCTCAGTGGCAAAATAGTTCGTTTGGAACACTTGGTTAACCGTCACGTGAGGATTTAAAAATCTTCCAAGTTCATTCAAGATTTCTTCTTGCCGTTGATGAGCAAGAAAACGAAAGGCGTAACCTGGCAAAAGGCGGAATTTCGCAAAAATGTACGATCGTTGAAGAAGCTATCGATGATGTCATCGATATTTTGAAAGTATTTGTTGAGAAGACACGAAGGTGAGGTTTTATGAGCAGTCGTGAGATACTTAAAGCACAAGCCCCGCGTATGGACTTGTCAAGGATTATACTGATATATTCCTCGACAAGTTTCCAGACAGAGGCATATGTCGTGAGATTGACATACCTACTTGAACGAAGAATTGTATCACACGCCCGGCCGTTGCCAAAAAAACATGCATTGTAGTCGACTAGTTCTTTTTGCGCAGCAACAGATGGCTGGTCGTGTGCATGAGAGCAAGTCTCCGCACTGTAGTCAAACTTTCCGTAGAAAGCCACAGGCGGATGGCGCATTGTCTACGCTATCAACAACTGGAAAAAATGCAACCATACCTGTTCAGACTCAGGTTTTCGCAAGGATCTGATCCTTGCTGGAATGGTCGGCAGTACTGTTTTCAGTGCGATCGATCTCTCACATGTTTTCAATCCAATATAAATGCACAAAAATGATATTTCACTAAGTGCAGTCAAGAACCCAGGGGTATTGTGTGGAAGTGGTTAGTGAGGCCGCAAGGCTTGAAGAACGCACCCGCGACTTTCAACAGAATGGACACGAGTTTTCTTCGTCCATTCATGGAGCTTGCACCGAGTTACTATGACGGTATATTCCTTTATGGTAAAAATCGGGTGAAGTCTGATGTCGATATTCATCTTGATCGTCATCGTCATGTAGATTTCGTATCCACCATTTGGTTGAATCAATAGATACTTGATAGAAAGTTTTGTATTAAACCTCTAGCTCTTCAAGCAATGAAACATACAGATGGACGGCCCGATAAGTCATATATTATTGTCATACTCATGGTTCCCAACTATTGTAATTTTTTGATAAACTTCTTATAACCAAAATTCGTTCTTGCGATTATAT